AACAGACATTAACAACAAACAGTTCAAATTGTTGTTCGGTGATGCAGTTAACCAGTGCAATGAAGGCGAACGCAGCTGTGTACATGGCTGGACTATTCACTTAGCAACGGACGCCCTCAATGAGACCGAAGAAGAGGCATTACGTCACATGAGTATAGAGCTGAATAGTACGAAAACATTGACAAGCACGAAGAATGAAGCTACTGGAGAGCAGCTGTTATTCACCGTGCATGATTTCAGCGTCCTCATGAACGAGAACGAGTGGTTGAATGACAACATTGTGAATTTCTACATGAAAATGATTCTGCATGACAACAATTGCAGAACATTTCATCACGAATGTGACAATCAGTTTGACAAGTCCAATCTATGTAGCACGAGGACGATCCCCGTCACAGCTGAATATAGCTCATACTTTTTCACTAAACTTCTAGGCAGGAACATGGAATATAAGTACGACAAAGTTGCTAGATGGTTTCGGAATGTCATCATAGCAGACACGGAGTTGATTCTAATGCCATATCACGATACGAAAAAGAAACACTGGACACTTGTTGCGGCCGACCGTCGACGAAATGTGATAGAGTATTACGATTCAATGGATACAAACACGAAGTTAGCTGAACAGGTGATAGGCTACTTTGCGCGATTTTTACTAGAGCGCTCAACGCACCAGGGCCGACCAATAGACGTATCGTGCTTCGAACACACTTTGGAAGTAAAGGGCATTCCGAAATAGGAGGACGCGAGTCAGTGCGGAGTGTTCATGCTCACTTATGCATCTCTTCTAACAAGAGGCAAGATGCCACCATTCAATTTCACAATGGACGACATACAGGGCATTAGACGAAGGATCGCAATAGACTCAATAGCTTCATGATTTGCAAATTTGCAATTGCATCGTATTCGTTCAGTGTTGTCGTAACTGATAACAGTTCAGAGCCTTCGATAGGTTGTGGGTATCCTCTCATATTTATTATACACCGAAGAAAATTGAGAGGAATTAGAAAGCATTTGAAAGAATTCACGAAAGACATTGGCATAACTTCATTTGGACTCACATTGCTCATTGATGATGTATGTTGTATGATGGACTCGTACAGTAGAGGATATAAGGGACCATAGTTGTGGTGTATGGTCTTTTTCTTATGGGATATGGTATACTAAGAACATGTGATGGTAGCCATCACTGCAAAGAAGGAAGTCACTCAAACATAAGTGTGGTTGTGAACTGGGGATACCATATAATGATGTATGTTATATGATGGACTCTTACGATATAGGATATACCATACCATAGTTGTGGTGCATGGTCTGTGATAGATGATCCTACCATCTAATGGGATATGGTATACCATCACAATGCGATGGTAGTCATTACTGCAAAGAAGGAAGTCACTCATTTCCACGAAAAAACATAAACGAAATTGTCAAAGTTCAATTTCGCGAAAATAGTAAAAAATGTCAATTTTAACGAAATGTCAGTTCTGCCAACTAAGAGGCCGAAATTAATACTCTCCTTGTACTAAATAAAATTTTAAACTCGAATTCACAGTCTGTGCGCGATACTACAGTTGCTACTAACTTACGTTCGTCCAGGAAACAGTGTCTGATCAGCAGCCATGCGATGTACGAAATGCGATCACAGCGAGAAAAGAGCGGTCAAGCTACTTACAACATTTAGAGACTCAACATCTTGCCCTCACCACAACACCTCATTCTCAACGTCGTCGTATGCGACGTATCTATGCTCTTTCCCTCCGTTGATTATTGCCCCCTTCCACACGCACTATCAATGATCGCATTCGGCTCAACTCATGACACTCATGGGTTAATGCTACTGCCTCTGAGGATGAATGGCATCCACTCAGGGCATAAGCACACATTTTTCAACTTTCACACAATATCTTCGGTCACACCACACCTTCATGAGCTCAGTTCTAATCGACTTTCCCCTTCCTCTCCGGTCTTGGCGTTGATTGGAAGTGATGCAGATCATGCTCGAAGACTAAGGCTCACAATGATCTCACTTTCGTCACTCCAAGATCAAAGGTAAGTAACAGAATCCATGATCGGAGACAGGTGGCATCTGTCGTCGAAGATACACACTCCTCTCACGTGAGTCACTTACTCTAGCTTGCTCCGCAACACTTTGACTTATGTCGGAAGGGTGACATCAACTGAAAACTCACCATGGAGCATGCCCGGAATGCCCACAAACATCATGTTTCAGTCCTCACTACCCCATAAATGTTGCATTTGGATTGGCGGCTGACACCAACCGCTACATAATGAATTAGCATCAGTCCCTGAGCCCACGTTCATCTCGAACGGATATTTCTCACAATTCAGACTTCTTTTTTTCTCGTATACACCCTCACAAACCGTCAATAGTAAGGCACATTATCTCTCGTCTTACGTGTCGTGGCTGAATAGTGCACTCTCTCGTCTCACCACAACCGAGGGTTAGTCAAAACGCCAAATGATAGAGTTTCAAGTTGTATGAGAGCTCGAACCCCTCTCTTTCTTCCGCTTGTTAGGAATGACTGTATTAATGGCCACTGCCCTGCAGACGAGCGTCTACCCTAACTATGGCAAAAGAGCATGCGGGCCGGTCAAAGGCACATGGCCGACAACTCCTGGTGAGTACCATTGCACTCTGAGAGCCCAATCTCTCTCTACATGTTCTCCTTCATTGTCCCCCTCTCTCTCGCTCGCTCCCACAAAAAACTCATTGCCACCTGGAAAAGTCTCTCTTTGTCTCTCGTCTCAATCCCGCACACGTCTCTTGACTGTAATTGCCTAGTCCTCTATGCCCTCTCATCTTCGTGAGTTGGCTCCTGGCCCATCCTCCACGGCCTCTGCAGGCGGGTGGTCCCGCCGCCACTGATCCAGTCCATGCTAGGACTGTGTCTCAGCATCCAGGTCACTAGCCTCACTCTCAGCCTCTGTGTCGCGGTTCAGGTGCAGCTGTTCACATTCCGTGGTACCAGTTGAAGTCTTTGCTTCTGGGTACAAGACGGTCCCCTTCACTTCCTCCGTGATCCCGTCCCTCGTGCACCTTCTCTTGGACCGGTTTTTAGCCTCTATGTTGGCCGCCTGTAGTCCCTGGTCCATTCTCAGCTCTTCCTCTTTAGCTCCTTCCACGTTTATCTTCAGCCTCGCCTGCAGGTTACAATGATTGTAATCCAAGATAGTTGTTACCATAGTAGGCCCGTCCTCAGTTATCCGTTCCCACCTCCAGAGGAACTAGAGATACTTCAGTCTGTATCCATGCAGCCCGTTTCAGTGAGCCATGGTTGTGCACTTTTCCGAATAGTTAGTGCCTGGTACCCAATACATGCGCACACAAGTAGTTTTCCCACCTGAATACTTTAGTGTTCCACCTTCCTGCCTCAGACTACCCGCGCTAATGCTGAAACTCATAATGTGCACTTATCGGCCAGTAACGAGTGGTGCGGCAGTTCCTATCTTTATAATATGCCATGTTCCCTGCGTTCTAAAGGAGGTGCTCAGTAGTGCTTTTGGGGACTAGTGGTTAAATTTGACCAGCCCTAAAATAGCACTTCAACCGATATCAGTAATAATTAAAAAAAAGGAAAGGCGAGCCGACCAAGGCAGATGCCCACTTTGAACATGACCCACAGTCTTTTCGAGCTGAAGTTTTTTCGGCTCAGCCCGAAAAGACTGAGGTCTGTGCGCAGTAGTCCCATAATGGGATACCGAAGACTTT